TTGTATTGTTGTTACTGTTATTGTACTATTGTAAGGTGACCTAGAGGGCCTTAAAGGCACCTAGAAATAAAATGTATCATTATTATTATTAGCATTACTCTTAATAATTTTTGCACATTGCACCTTATGTAGTCCTGCGCTTATTGTCTGTTATATGTAGCACCATATGGAGGAATTCGTTTCACTGTGTACTCTACCACAGCACAAGGTTGGAATGACAATAAAGCCACTTGATTTAGTTTGAGATTTAGTGGGTGTTAACCATCGGGTGCTTAGTTTATGTAAAATTGTAGTTTGTTGTTTTGGTTAAATTAGCTTAAATTATGTGTGTGTTGTATATGAGTAGACTTGTATACAGTTAAACATGTATGGATTATATAATGTCGAAGTCTGAATACTGATTTGTAAATACTGGAATTTGAAAAGAGGGGGTAGGTACAGAAAAGGTGCAAACTTTATCCTACTCATTTTCTAGCATACACATTGTGTAGACATAGAGATAATCACGAAACTTGATGTTAAGGTTTTTCTTTTTTCTTGTTATTTCAGTTATATTTACGAAATAAACATTTTTGTATTTATGCATCTATATATAGAAGTGGGAGTGGAGATACATGACCGGAAACATACAATAGTTAAACACAGAAGCAAAGCTGTGATGGGGACAGGGATTTTACTTTGTCCAGTGACGACAGAAATGACATTTCAGTGCCTCAGAGTTTATCTGAAGGTCACACCTATCACGCCTCAAACACACCAGCAGGTCAGCGCTCTGACCTTGTATCTGCTGGAGTTTGTCCTCCACTTGTCTCTTCATGTCCTCAGCTTCCATCATGATGCTCTTCAGTCGACCATCAACTTGACCCTTGACCTCCTGATTCTGTTGATTTTGCTTTAAAACCTCAAACTGCTTAGTGACATCACTGAGCTCCTGTTGGGCAGAAACAGTGTTCTGATTTTCATCTGAGACTTGAAACTAAAAACAGAGACTCAAAGTTGTGTGCAAAGTTTTACATAGATTTTTCTTATCTTAAAGCCTCAAACACATATAAATGTGTCTGTTGGTGTTTTTACCGTCTCTGCATCAGTGGTCATGTTTAAAGCACTCTCTGCCACCTCTCTGGCTTCTCTCGCTGTCTCTCTGTTCTCTTCAGTTTTGTCCTTCATAGCTTCAATCTCTTTCTGCAGGTCTTTGGTCTGAATCATGAGCCTCGCCTCGATGTTGTCCAGTGTGTCTTCAGCCTGAAACAGAAAACAAACAC